AAAAAAAATAATAATAATAACTACTCCAAATATTAACCAACTCGACATTGAGCTTAACGCTCATCATTTTGGACATTTTGTTAGCTCCATGAATGGGAATAGTTCATGTCAGCAAATAATTTACAACTCTGGCCCCGACCTTCCCAAATATCACACATATCCATGTTTTTGTAAAATCTAGAAAAATTGCAGGTATAATAATAAAGTATCTGGAAATATCAGCAAATTTCATTTTTTTGGAGTTTCGAGGGGCAACATATCAGATTTGATCAAATCTCAAGGGCAGTTATAATATTTTTTAAAATCAGGTGGCCAATTTTGTAATCAGTCTAAACCTGGGGAGTAGTTATTTTTTTTAACTATCCCTTGTCATGGTCGAGCCTCAAAAACAGAACTTCAGCGGACGATTTCTATAATTGAAAAGAAACTTACCCACTTAATCATCACTCTCTCGTCATCCGGCCTCTTCATATCCACGGGCCGGCGGCCTGTTAAAATTTCTAGTAATAAAATCCCGAACGAGTAAACATCGCTTTTGGCCGTGAGTTGAAATGTCCTCATATACTCGGGATCAAGATAGCCGACAGTGCCCTTTACTTTGGTCGATACATGCGTTTTCTCGGAGTCGGGGTCGTCCCCAGCCCTGGCAAAACCAAAATCTGCAACTTTGGCTCTGAAGCTCTCAGTCAACAGAATATTGGAGGACTTGATATCTCTGTGGATAATTTGCTTCTCTGCAAAAAGGTAAATATAACATAATAGTCTCTCACTAAATGTCTCCATTATTTATTACCCAAAACAAGTATGGGAATAAAATACGTCTTGAGAACGAATCGTTACCACTTACCAGCATATAGATGGAGATGCGTCAGGCCATGAGCAACATCAATGGAAATCTCAAGTCTTTGATTGAAATCCAACGTCTTACCCTTAATACCTTCCAAGAACAAAAACTATGTTATAATTGTGTATACAACAGTAAAATTTGTAACGCTTGACAAAATTTAAAGCTTTACCATCTAGATGTTCTCTAAGTGTACCATTGGGAACATATTCCGTGATAATCACGCGTTCACTTCCTTTTTCGACATAACCAAGAAGCTTGACTAAGTTACGATGATCAATTTTAGCCAGAAGTTCAACTTCTCTTCTAAATTCTATCTTCAAGGCTTCAAAATGTTCCTGAAATTGTTCCCACAGAAACAAGTCACTAGAAAAATATATGGATGCCCCAAAGTTTATTACTGGTCAGCAATCAGCATTAGCCAAGCTTAGACTTCCAAGGTGTTGGCCCGAGAAAATAATTCCTCACTGAAGTCAACGAGTTACAAGATAAAAATTTCAAATTCTTCTCTAAATAAAAATGTAAAGTCTCTCAAGCCTAACTGTTACCTTCTGGTGCTTCGTTACCCTATGGATCAACTTCAGGTGCTTTGGAGAAAATTTAGACTTTTATTGAAACTAGGAAGATTAAAGTATATAAATGTAGAATAAATGTACATAGAGATGTACATAACACTCACATGGGGTGGGGTCCACTTGATATTTCAATTTTGGTGGGACCAACTCAATATGAGTGTTATGTACACGTCTATGTACACTATTATGTACCTATAGCATTACTCTAATCTTTAATGGTATTAAAAGCTATACTTAAATAAAAGTAAATAAATAAATTTTGTGTTAAAAACCAAAATGAAATCATTAATTGATGTTGTCTTCATCATTTTCTGAAATCATGATCATTGTTATCGTTATTTTTATTGATGTAATACTTTTATATCATCGTTGTCACTGTTCGTTGTACCGATTAGATTTAATTATTAATTCAATGTTAATCAATGTCGTTTGGATGTTTTCTGTTATTATCATCTTTGATATATTTGTGTAATGTTTAAGACAAAAGTAATCATGCATTATACACAAATGTAAAATATTAATTTAAATATATTTCCTTAAGTAAAATAAAATATATATATTCTATTAATAATTTTTTTTGTGACTTATTAAGAAAAAATATTCTGAATAATATATTTAAGTTCAACTTTAATAATGCATATAAATGTATTTATATGCTAATATATATTGAATGTATCTTAATTCAAAGCTAATTAACTTTGTTTGGATATTTTTCCTTGCTATATTTTTTTATTCTGTTGTTATAGTGGGAGAGTGTCTTTTTTTTTTTTTTTT